AACTGGGTGCATATAAAGTTTGCGGTCGACGATTACAATGTCTTTACTGTGTTGTTAATTAAAGTCTTGACACCGTGCAACTGGGTGCATATAAAGTTTGCGGTCGACGATTACAATGTCTTTACTGTGTTGTTAATTAAAGTCTTGACACCGTGCAACTGGGTGCATATGAAGTTTGCGGTCGACGATTACAATGTCTTTACTGTGTTGTTAATTAAAGTCTTGACACCGTGCAACTGGACGCATATGAAGTTTGCGGTCGACGAAAATTGGAATACCTCAGAAAATGCCAGTTATATGATGTATTAGAATGATAGAAAATACAAATTTACTGGGTTTACTGAATGTGTTACAGATTTATAACTAAGAGAACCCCGTATTATTGTTTAACAGATTCAGTGTAAATAGCTTTAAAACTAAACAAAATAGTCATTCCAATGAGTGATAACTTTACCTTCTTTTTTCCAGGTCTCGGATTAGCTCAAGTGCTTGCTGCTGCCATGGTAGCTATTTATTACAACGTAATCATTTCATGGACGTTGTTCTATTTCTTCGATTCTTTTCGTTCTCAAGTGCCTTGGAAATTCTGTCACTACTGGTTCAATACAGAAAGTTAGTATATGTTGGAAAAATAATGAATATATCCCAATTGGATGTGTTTTTTCGTATTGAATATTTTTAGATAATGTATATATATATATAACTTGGAAGAGTCAGTTGCGTTAATATTTTAAAGATTGGATCTGTGGACTTTATTTCATTACTAACGCCATCACTTTTATAAATAATTTCACTAAATGCTGTATCACATAAATTAATATGAAAATTAATTTTATTCATCATTACATAAAATATGTAATAGAGGTCGTTATTAATATTGTTTTCATTCACACAGTGCATGAAATTGTATAAGCCATGTGAAAGTACAGGCTTTATTTACACTTGAAACTGACGGTATGCTCCTAAGTCTTCTATACATCTTTTTCACAAAGAAGTCTCTTTTCGAACATGATGAATAGGGATAGACATATTGTATTATCTTGTGAATTTTGGTCTTTATGGTTCAATATTTCTGTTTTTAGCGTGTGTATGTGTCTATCTATATACGTTCGTATATTTTCAACAGGTTGTTTTGCAGATCAAGATTGGTCAGCTTGTAAAGCAGCAGACCCAAACAATACATTTTCCAACCGTACTTGCTTCAACGCCACCTATTCAGCTCTGCACAATTTAACAGACATCTCTGTAAATAATAGCGTTTCTGCTCCAGAAGAATATTTCAAGTTAGTTTGTGTTTGGTTAACTGACAAATTTAAAAAAACTTGTCATTTTGATTAAGCTTAGAAGTAGTTAGTTCTGTATTTTTACTTGAGATGACTTCACGTTTTACAGATGTTATGAAAAGTTAAATTAATGTATTTTAGAATTGACAGTTTCTAGGATTACCAAGTAATAACAGATAGAAAAAAATAGACGTACTGCTAAGCTATTTCTTTCTATCTTAACTAATTAAAATGACGTCTGAACTCTGTTCATGACTATCAAAACCACATTTTTCCAAAATTAATTTATCAAAGTGTTTTTAACCCCCTAAAATACGGCTATTTACATCACATAAACTAGCATGAATTACTTTTAAACTATGATTACTGGAATCTACATTTTTGTTTGTTTGTTTATGTAGTCTTTATATGTTGGGAAAATCTGAAGGATTTCACGACATAGGAACAGTTAGATGGCAGCTGTTATTATCCCTTCTTGTAGCATGGGTTGTTGTAGCAGCTTGTTTGATCAAAGGAATTAAAACCTCAGGACGGGTAAGTCGACGCTGTTAAATTTCAGTATAAAGCTAAACAGACACAGACAATTGGTATTGCTTACTTGTAAAAAAAAAAAGACATTTCATAAACTTTTGATGATTCGCGTTCTTGTTTTAAGTTGGACAGTTTAATACAAAATATATTAAATTACAGAAAATACGTGGTGATTTATGTTATTTATAAATTCCATTCGCGGACATCACGACGTTTGGATAAAATTGTCAGAATACTGTAAAGTAGTAACAGGTGCATGTAAATATGTTAAACCTAATGTAAATGTAGACATAGAAGGGAAAAATACAAAAATTTATATTTTAACAAAAAATCAATTTTTGAACTTAACCGTATTTTATGTTATTAGTTCTTGTGACTGAAAACGCTAGGTAATTTTTTGTAAAGTCAACTAATTAGGTTAAACGAGTCAGTAAAATGATATAATATATTCAATTTAGAGATAACTAGTCCTGATGGTGGTAACTGTATTACTGAAACTAGTCGGATGTAACCTATAATAAAAAAGTTTACTTTTTATTGTGCTAAAAATGTCTTTTTTGTGTTTTTTACTCCTAATATTCATTTGAAAACAAATCATAACATTGTTATAAAGAATCACAATATCTGCTTAATGTTGTTTTCAGTTCGTTTATTATACAATGTATGCGTCAATAAAATGATGTAATATTGTATTTTACAGATAACATTGTTATAAAGAATCACAATATCCACCTGAAAACAAAATTAAGCAAATATTGTGATTCTTTATAACAATGTTATCTGTAAAATACAATATTACATCATTTTATTGACGCATACATTGTATAATAAACGAACTGAAAACAACATTAAGCAGATATTGTGATTCTTTATAACAATGTTATCTGTAAAATACAATATTACATCATTTTATTGACGCATACATTGTATAATAAACGAACTGAAAACAACATTAAGCAGTTTATTTTACTGCCACATTTCCTTATCTGATTCTTCTCATCCTATTTATACGTGGAATAACACTAGATGGCGCTATTGAAGGACTGAAGTTTTACATAATTCCAGATTTTAGCAAACTCAGTAGTATTGGGGTAAGTGATACAGAAGACAATAAAACTAGTTTAATTGAATAATAAAAAGTTCATTGTTTCGTATCACTAACACGTCAGTGACCTTTTATTCTGCGGTTTAATTGAACTTCAGTAGCCATAACATCATTTTAAAAACTACGAAACACCTGGCGGAACATAAAAAAAGAATTGTGGAAGAAAATGTTTTTATGTCACAAAATAATTTATTAGCTTGTATAATTTACATGTATATTTATCAACATTTGACAATTTTTATAATCTGAGTTATTTTTATTTATTGTTTGACATTATACTTTTTATTGGTGTTAATTTACTTCACTCGGTTTAGTAATTGCATAAATTATAATGTTACAAAATATATTTATTTTGTAGAAGAAAAAATTTCTGTAAAAATTACAAAAAATATGACTAATCAGTAATCACCAGAAAAAGGTATTGTTGTTTCCAATTATGCACAAAGCTACACAAGAGCTATCTGTGCTCTGCCCACCACGGGTATCGAAACCCGGTTTCTAGCGTTGTAAGTCCGCAGACTTATTCCCACTGTTTCGCTCTATCAGTCGTGTGACTTGATAAATCGAATACAAAGGAACATTCGAAAAAAATATTTTGGATCGGTTGTATTTATTACAATTTTTACAGTGTCTAAGTTTCTCCAGTGACGAATTATTTGGTTGACGTTATATAAATGAAAATATTAGCTTTATATAAATTTACTTTTGCTTTCTTTGTAGGTGTGGGAGGACGCTGCAATACAAGTTTTCTATTCCTTCAGCATCGCGGGTGGTGGCATGATTACCTACGCTAGTTATAACAAGTTTACAAACAACCTAGTAAGGTAAGAATATTTTATCAGTTTTTCTTCTAAATTTAATCATATTTCATTTGAGTAGTATTATTTTGTTTCGTTAAAAAATCTAATTAGATATAAATTAGTTTGTTAGAGATCAGAAATTTTGCAATGTCTGTAAATTGTAAATGTAAAACAATTTTCAAAACTGAAGTTGAACAGTTTGTTTAAGATGTTCAGTAATCATATTTAATAATAGTTTATATATTACAGTTTGGAAAGTGTTGTTATACCACAGCTTCTGTCACAAACTATTTTATCTGGTTTTTTTTTGGTAACAGGGATGCCCTTATTATTGGTATTGGCGACATGTTAACCAGTATCTTCAGTGGAATGGTTGTTTTCTCAATCCTTGGTTTCATGGCTCGTCAGCTGAATAAATCGGTAGCAGATGTAGTTGAATCTGGTGAGGAAAAATGTGTTGTGTAAAATATTAAATATTTTAAATATGTGCATAAAATCATACATTATGACGTGTTATCTTTATTAATTTATAAACAAAACAAAGCCGTATAAGTGAAAATTACAATTCTATGGAACTAAGTATAAATCAAATTCTCATTCAAAGTGGATTGCACTTCTATCATTATTGTTAGTATTCAATGCCAAATTGTACCTATTAAGTTTGATTCGTAAAATTTGAGTTTAAAATTATATAAATTTTAGTGTACAAAAATGGCAAATAGCTAGGCGTTCAGTTTCAGTCATTTTAGTTTATGAATTTTTCAAATATTTGTTCTTAATAGGACCGGTATTTTTACCTATTTTATTAATTTTTGTATTTGCAGGTACCGGTTTAGCCTTTATTGTGTATCCCGATGGTATAGCCCGAATGCCAGTTTCTATTTTGTGGGCTCTGTTGTTCTTTTTTATGCTATTTTTGTTGGGAATAGATAGCCAGGTGAGACTTAAATATACCGTATTTCAATTATAGTAATACACTTTAACATCTCTTTTTAATTTTGAAAATAATTAGTTAATAAAAATATGTATTTATTGAATTGGTTGCAAAATATATATGCATATTGTTGTAACAGTTTCTATGGTTGGGTAGGTACTTTTTTGATTTTTTGCAAAGTTCAGTCCATTTCGTCCTAATTCGAAAATAAAGCTTACATTATGTGACCAGTCATTTTGTTTCTTTTGAATTTCGCGCAAAACTACACGAAAGCTACTTGTGCTAGCCGTCCCTAATTTAGACTAGAGGGAAGGCAACTAGTCAGACCACCAACTCTTGGGCTACACTCTTACTAACAAATAGTGGGACTGAAAGAGCGAGCATGTTTGGTGATGAGGAGGTATTTTGTACAGAGATTGATTACGTTATATTATAACGATTTTGGAGCTCATTACGTCTTTAAAATCCGTTCAGCCATGCTCTATCTGACGACCGCAAATTTTGACAATAGCAATGCGTCGTAGTTTCTATTGCAAAAGACTTCGTTTTAAAGCTGTCAAATCCAAAAACCTTCCTCTCCTCCTCCCTATGCTGGCTTTACATAAGCCATTTAGCGTACGATGTCGACTGACAGTTTCCCAGTGCCCGTTTTATCAGTCCGATCGCACAGACATCCACAGGTGTTGCGTATGGCAACTGACCAACTGTCGTATGATGGAATAGTATGCATATATAATGGATATATTGTGGAAGCAACTTTTGTCGCCTATCCTGACGGAGATTCTTCATAGACACCATTTGCAGCTGACCGTTATATTCATGGATTCTCACCTGTTTGAAGACGCGCGCACGTTGCTTACTAAGGCTTGTTAGCAGGCTCCTTTTGGTAGGCTTAATTTACAAATAGAACTAGAGTCACTTGCGTATCTCTACTACTTCAGTAATTCATTGGAAATGCACAAGTTACGGTGCTGATCTAATTAATACAGATTCAGTAATGAATAAATAACTTACTACTTAATCGACCAATTACTATTCTACTCCAACTGTAGATTTTATATTATTCAAAAACTTCCTCAATTTAAAAAACAACCGACATGTACTCGCTCATCACGTCATATCAAAACCAAATCTCTCTCTAGCGGACAATACAAGTATTTAACTTAAAATATTAAAATTATAGCCTACAACAACATTTTACAGCTGTTGTTATTGAGAACCGAAAAATGAATGCTCTAAGTTTAATGAAACTATTCTGTTTCATTTTCAGTTTGCGATGGTGGAAACAGTAATCACATTCGTCTTCGATCAATTCCCAAAGACCAGAGCCTTTAAGCCTACCGTTGTGATTGTAATCTCAATAGTTTTATTCCTGTGTGGTCTTCCTTTAACAACAAATGTGAGTACTTTGTAAGATATAGTACTGAACATTAATTTACTTCTCTCTGACGGAAGTAAAGTATTTATTGTATTTTTTATGTATTTCAAACTGTTGATAAAACTACAATACATTATTATCTTGTTTTTACAATTAACGATGTGTAGATCTGTCAAACTATTTGAATTAATTTTCTTTGTTTTTGTCTTCTTAAACAGGGTGGTGTTTATATTCTGGAGGTTATTGATGCCTATGCAGCTGGTTGGCCGTACATGTTTATTGGTTTATTAGAATGTTTAGTTGTTGCTTATGTTTATGGTGAGTAATTTAATATTTTAACATAATTGAACAATTAAGCTTTTATAACTTTAAAGTCGTGCTATTTAGTAGTTGATAACTACTATTTCATAACTGGTATTCAACAGTTAACAGCTACCTATTCATGCTAATTAGGAGTTAATAATTGCCACTTTTGGCTAACTGCTGCGTTTTTCTTGCCTGAAGTTTTAGTGAATTGCATCTGCCTGAAGCGTGTGGGCAGTACTTTGGTCTTTGCAAATACAATGCTTAAATACAAAGGCTCATATCTTTTGTTCACCCGATCCTCAAAATATGGACTGATACCTTTACTAACTCCTTACTGAAACCCATGAAGGATCACTCTCGTCTTAAAGGCCATTTAATCATCATCCTACAAAACATTATTAACAAGATCCCAGAGAATGCTATAGCTAGAAGGTTTGAACCACTGTCACCACCATCATTAATCAGATAGCTATCCCAGCAGAATAGGAACCAGGATTGATGCTGCTGTTAATTTGGAATAGTTTAAAAGCTGTTCAGGATACCGTGACATAAGTTTAGATCTGGAATATGCCTACAGTAGAACCCAACTGCCAATTCTTGCTGAATAAATGTTCAGATTAGGCAGAAAATGCATCTCAAAGAATGAAAATTAGCACTCAGACTGTATCACTATCAACACTGGTCTGTCTCAAGGGTCACCTTTCTCCCTTAGTCCTTTTTTTAATATTCACACCAGGGACAGTCCAATCAAATGTTGTATGTTAACCTTTGGTGGTAACTTTATGGTGTACAGCCAATACATGGTCCAGTGACACAGGACCCTACCAAAGCCACAGTCATATTCTGCACACTCAACAACAGACATGCTGATGAGAACAAATTATCACACCCTTTGTGGGCACTGCCATCCCTCTGGAAGAAACAATTCAACTTATACAGCCATGATAACCAGAGCTACCAAAGGTATAAATGCAGCTAGATAAGACTGAGATGATACAAAATACCTGTTGTGTTTAACAATGGTCATGGAATTTACTTCAGCCACTCCCACCAAAGGTACATTGCACTTCACAAACCTCAACAGCGTCACACAGCACCAAAAGTGCTTACATGCAAAATTCTTGACCAAAGAGAGCTTTGCATTGTAAAAAACCATGCATTTTATCCTGGAGCCACTGCTCTTTTCAACTGAGTCCACAATAACCTGCAGTCATTAACCAACCAAGAAATTATCTAAAAAGCACATCAGAAGACAGTTATTGTTGGGCAGGTTCTGTACAGCCACCACTGAGACAGTGATGTCTCTAGTAATTTTTATCTAGAGGGTAGAAAAGAAAGGTATTTTGCCTTTAAGCAATGTCTATTTATTATTCTTAATTATCAAAAAGGCTAAAATTATTAGCTTAAGCTTTATCTGCACAGCTTCATGGTAGTCTGATGCTGTTTCAATCCACCATTAAATCCATTCATAGGCCTATACGTCTTTTCATTCTAGTTACCGAATGACTATCAAGGCCATTCATGTCGGTGGGACTCACAGTGTAGGAAGAATTTAAAAATCATAATAGACTAAATCCTGATATTGCAGAAGAGTGTTGCTGGGGATTCAGAATTATCCAATGGGAGTCTGCTCCCTAACTCCCATGCAACCCCAGCGGACATGCCTTTGCAGTAAGATAACTTGATACCTCCAGATTAAATATCTGGTATCACAGAGATCTGTGGAAATCAGCTTAGTCAGAAAATGTAAATACTGAGAAGAGGGTGAAGAGAAAAAGCCTATCAGCACCTGTCTAAAGACCATGCATGGTGGACAGTAACCTGTTATCACAGCCACAGATAGTTCATACACCAAAAAGGGCTGGTTGGGTGTTCATTGTATCATGGAGCAACAACATTCTGCATAAGGATGGAGCTGGGATCCATAAAGTAAACTCTCCTCTGGATTGCTAAAAGCAACAAACCACAAATAGTGCCACCAACATAATATTTTTCACTGACTCGCAAGTGGTACTGTATAAAATTCAGAGTGGTCAGACCCCAGATGGATAACAGAAAGCAAAACAGCAGTATGATAAGACCACTACCTGGATGTATATGCCAGTCCATGCAGGGATAAAGCTAAATGAGGAAACTGAGACACTCACCAGAGAAATCCCTATAACAAATCTAACACAACTATAATGGCAGGATATTGACCTCTGCAAAGGGAATGAGACTACTGGAAAACCATGTATTGTATGGTATAGCTAGGAAAAGCAAAAAATGGGGAATCAGTAAAACAGTATTTAGCCAAAAGACCAGTGGTAACATCAGTGAATGAACTCTTCTATCACAAGTGATGCAAGTGGTCTACATATGAAAGGTCAGCATCTATAAGCATGACACCTTGGACAGTCACCGAGTGTTCAACTAAACTATTTATCATTTGCTGCTATACTTGTGTGTACATGTTGTAGGATAGAACTGAAAACTTTAATGTGGTATAATCGTTGTACTTAGGTGTGTGAATTATCAAAAGCTTGTTACTTTTATTTTTTTAGAAAAATGTAACACTTGTGTATAAGCTTTAAAGCAATAAAATGTTAGTAGGATTACAGTCAAAAGTTTGCGGTGGTGGGGCAGAGGGTTGTTTGGTAATAGCATTATTAAAACCAAATACATGTATATGTATAAAAAGTCCCAATTTGAGTTGAACCAACTAAACAAATAGGTTCTTGTGCCTATGAATTTAGGTAAAAAATATCATTTGAAACTGGCAATAAGGTGAGAAACTATTTACAATGTGTATTATTATTCATGTTTTCTATTACAGGTGTTGAAAATTTCTTAAATGACTTGAAACAAATGACAGGTTGGTGCCCTGGCCTGTGGGTTAGAACACATTTGATGACAGTAATTATGACAGTGTCTCCTATACTCATCTGTGTAAGTATGTTAGTTAAGTGCATTATGCTCTTGTGAAAATTAATTCTCTTAAATAAAATGTTGCAAATACTGGTTTAAATGGAGCTTACCTATGAGATATACTGACAAACAACTTACATGTGAGATATAGTGACAACAACTTGCATGTTAGATATAGTAACAACAGCTCACACATGAGATGTAAGGACAACAACTTACATGTGAAATATAGTGACAACAGCTTACATGTGAAATATAGTAACAACAACTTACATGTGAAATATAGTAACAACAACTTACATGTGAGATATAGTGACAACAACTTGCATGTTAGATATAGTAACAACAGCTCACACGTGAGATGTAAGGACAACAACTTACATGTGAAATATAGTGACAACAGCTTAC